GGTTCTGTACCCAGCATCCCATATGCTCCCCCAAATTCAACCCAAAGTAATTCCTGAGCACAGAAACAGGAGTTTATACCCCGGAGTATCACTGGGTATGAAACCCCACAAAAAAACATCCAATAAGAGCGAGAGAACAAAAGGGAATGCCCAGCCACAGAGGCAGGGTGGGATGGGGGGGATGGGAGGGGAATACTAGGATCCGCGGTAGTGGGAAATGGGCACTGGTGGAGGGATGGTTATTTGATCATTGTATAATTGAAACCCAAGCACAAAAATTTGTAACTCTACAACTGTACCTCATGATGTCTCACTAATAAAAAAAAAAACTAAAATAAAATACAATTTAAAAAGAGACACAGAAGATATAAATTAACTGTTCATAATATCCTAAAATAATTTTTATTAAATTGTAAAAATATAGTGTACATTTGTAATTACATGACTATGGATTATATATTAAAATATAAATAATTCATATATAAATTAAAATTGTTATGTTACCAGCCACATTATATCTTTTCCTTTTACCAATTTGGCATAAATCTCAGTAATTTATGTTGTTGCTTCAGACCATAAGTAAAAGTGGAATGCCACATATTGTCCCTACTTCTGCTGTTTTTAATTTTAATATTTCAATAATATCAATTTTTCAAGAGTAATGAAGTATAAATAAAAAAAGAACAAGGCATACTCTGGAAATAATAGCAAAATTTAACCAGTTTTTGCTAATTATAAACACAAGTGTATTTTAATCAACCAGTAAGTAGCTACTGCATATTAATTAGTGCAGGGTTTCATGAGAAAGCCAAGGGAAAACTACAGCTATTGTAAATACCGAGTGACACTTCTATGTCCTTTAGGAAAACTTCCTCATAACTGGCAAGTGTGTCAAAAGAACACTTGAAGATGGACTGGAACAGCCAGCATATATTTTATTTTGCAAAAATTTTAAAGCAATTTTCTAAGAACAAAAGGACTGTTTTTGACTTAACAAATTTATAAAGATAGTACTGTACTGCCCTCAGTTTTTTATTGTAGTTAAAGTCTTCTTCCTACAATGGCTTATTGTGCACATTACAAAGTCTTTAGGGTCTTCAGAAATTAAAGTGACAGAGTTTTCTTAAGCACACTTGAGAATGGATCATTCTTCTTTACTCTTAAGATAATATGCCTTTACAGACTTCTCCAATAATTCTAGTCATCTTGACAAAAGAAAATCACCAAGACAATACAATGATTTTACAAAGAGAAAGAATGACAGTTTCCCTTCTACTTTTCAAAAATGTTTTATAATATGATTTGAGATTGGCTTTATTCAATAGTCTGAAAGAGGAACCAATTCTTACAAAGTGACACTCTGTATAATAAAGAACACCTACACTTCTGAACAACACACCCATTCCCACATATTCACAATGTTATTATTATTGCCATTAGAATCTTTTCCAAGATAATTTTCTGCAGAGGAAAATATGGCTTTGTTTAGAATAAACTGACAATGTCAGTTAAACAAGGAATAAAATATAAAGGTTTGAGGGTTTTGTTTTTATTCTCACTTCAACAACTTCCATGAAGGTCCCTATTTTTTTTCTTCCCTTCATTAAGGAGGCTCCTGTTCTCTCAACGTTTCATCTGTGCAATAAATATTTGTTATGTTCCCTTCTAGGCAGCAACACTGTGCCTGGCTACTAGGTGCTGGTTAGAGTAACAGCCAAAACAGACAAGGTACCTGACGTAGTGTAGGCAGACTTAGATTACCCCAAGCATCAATATATGGAAAAATTTTAACATAAAGCAGGAACAACATTGAGTGTCAAGAGAAACAAGCAGTGGGTTTTGATTTTTCTTAAAATTTAACAGTGTAGGATGGGGGGGGTGGAACTGGCATGTACTTTCCACCCCACAGAGGCCATGCGTTGCCCTCCACGAGTGGCTCTCCAGTACAGCCATGGACCCAGAGGCACACAAACCAGTCTCGGAACTATGCAGCTTTTGGCAGAAATCTGTCCAGACTTAATTAGTAAAGTATCAAAAATCCAACATCGTGTGGCTGCTATTGTGGCCACGAGACATCATATGGTCTTCATAACCAGCAATAGAAAACAAATTATTTCACAATGCCTTTTCAGCAGGTCTGATTGTTGGGGGAATATTCCAAATAATAATGGTGCATCTTTTGTCAAAATAATGAATGTAATCAAAGTAGAGAGAGAGTTAAGTGGAAATCATCTGCCTCACACACATCAGGAGGGGTGGGATGGGGGGTATATTGGGGTTCTTGGTGGTCAAAAAATATGCACTGATGAAGGGATGGGTGTTTGATCACTGTATACAAGAGACAAACCTGAAAGCTTTGTAACTTTTCTCTCAGTGATTAAATAAATACATTTAAAAAAAATTAACAGTGTAGGCCAGGATCTAAAAAAATGACAGAATTTCCCCGATAAAAAGTTAGTCAGGAAGCCATTTTATTGCATTCCTAAATCGAAACAAAGCAAAGGATTTAAGAGCCAGAAGGAAATGAATGAGGCCGGCGTATGTTAAGTCAAACGAGGTAATATCGGCTTCTTTCCTGAGAGAAGTCAGAAGGTACTGAAGTACTTGAAGCAGAGAAGTGACATGGTTAATGTTCTATAAAGATTATATTTTCAACTCTCTAGAAATAGATGGGGGGTTGGGGGGATGGCACAAGGATCCTGTGGGAAAGGAGTCACAGAGCCAGAATTCTCCAGACTCTGAATTTCTTTCTTAAATTCTCCCCATTGGACCCGAGAGATAGCGGAGAGAGTAAGGTATCTGTGCTTTATGTGGACAACCCCCGTTCTAAGCCTGGTACCACATAGGGTCCCTAAAGCACTGCCATGAAAGACCCCTGAGCACAGAGGCAGGTGTATATTCAAACAAACAAAATGCTCCATGTCATCATTCGTGATCTGCTTTTACATGCACCCATACCCAGTCACCACATACACAGGGCCACTTAAAGACATTTTCTCCACCACAGAACTTGTCTTTGTCTATCTGCTCCCTTCTTTTACTAGATAAAATTTCTCCAAAGTCTAGGGGTCACACGATTCAAAGTCTAATTACTCCATGAATAGTTTTTCCTTTTGTATAAACTCCAGGAGCTAATAACTCTTTTTAAAAATATATAGCCAAGAATTATATAGCTTAGTTATAAGAGGCCCTGGGGTTGATCCCTGAAAAAAAATTTTTAAAAAAATATAATAATATGAATAATTGGAGAGCAGAAAGGAGTCCTGAATAAAGAACTGACTTTGGCTCTAAGTGCTGAGTTTCAGAATTACTGATCTCCTGAGATCATTCAACCTAATATTCCTCAATCCTTGGATACCTCACTTAAATTGTGAGCTGAAAATAACTTATTTTTAACTGCTATTATCTTTTATCTTTTTAATGAAAGACAGAATTTGATTTAAAAGAAAAATTTCAAATATATTTTATGCTGCTGATAGAAATAATATTTGCACACATGCCTGAAGAATTTGTACTTAGATCATTTTCAACTTTTATAATAAATAATATCTACCATTTATGGTTAAAAGGCATGAATATGTGTAGTGAGATCTATTTAACTTATCTGACTTTATGAATGGAAAAGGAGTCAGCTCAGTGGTACTGTTCTTACATGACACGTATGAAGCTCTGGGTTGGATCCCCAGGTACCCTCCTCCACCTAATCACAGACATCCACCCTCCAAAATCAGAAAAAGATATCACTTCTCTGAATTCAAAGAGACAAAACATATTTTTAAAGTTATATTTTCCTCAAAGCCTAAGAATGCAGTTCATTTTATCTAGAAAGCAAACTAGATTGACTAAGACACAAAATTTCTTATGCACTAACTTTTCATATTGATTATCTTGCATCTATTTACAAAAGGAATTAGGGTTCTTTTACAAGTGAACTCTTAGTAACTGACCTCTACAAACTGCTTCAAGTTTGGGTGTGAAATGCTCCACAAGAGGTAAAGGTAAGGTAAAGGCCCTCCCGTTGATCGTCGATTTGCTCGAGCGGGCCCAGTAACGTCTCCATTGGAGACTTTGTTGTTACTGTGTCTGGCATATCGAATACTCTCGGTAGCTTGCCGGGCTCTCCGAGAGGGGCGGAGGAATCGAACTCGGGTCGGCCATGTTGGCCGCTTGTAAGGCGAACGCCCTACCGCTGTGCTATCGCTCCAGCTCCACAAGAGAACAAAGTGATTTCATTAACTCAGAATATGCGGTTCTGCTGAAATCCAAGCAAGTACTATTAAGAGACCACAATCTTTCACATGCATAACTGGGGGCTCTAAAAGATCATTTTGCCTAGGAAAAGGTTTAATATACATGTAAAATATTGAATTTATCTAACATTTTGCAACATTTGATTAGTACATTTTCTTTAAGTACCAGGGATTGCTTTAGGACCTCATAAGTATAAGACAAGCGCTCTACTTCTAAGCCACATCCTAGCCTTTAGTACATTATCTTAAAAAATAACTTTACTGTAACTAATTTTGAAGGGGTGGGGCTAGGGTCAGACCTGACTGTACTCAGGGCTTAATCCTGACTCTGTGCTCAGGGATCATCCCAGGCAAGTCTTAGGGGTCAAGAATGTAGTCAAGAATGCAGTGCCCCTGTACGACTGAATCCCAATTGTGAACAGCTTTGTAAGAGTCTATGTCACAGGTATTCAATTAAAAAAAATTCTAAAGCATATAACGTAAGTGTTATACATACACACACACACACACACACACACACATACACACACACACACACAGAGTAATGTAGTGCCAATATGGAGGGTTAAGTATCAAACCCAGGTTGACCGTATATAGGGCAAACACCTTACCTGATATACTAGTTCTTCATCCCTATTGCAATTATTTTATGAAGAAAACACAGCTCATAAATTACAAAAATTTGGTAAAATGAGACAATGAGCAGACATTTTATTCTACTATTCCTAAAGCCATCTCCTTATGACTCACCTTGATCTCTTTCATGCCATGTTCGACTTCCAGCAGCTGGTGAATTAGGAGAAGGATAAAAGTCTCCAGTGGGACTTGGTTCCATATTTTCATCTATTGATATAGTTTTGGGTCTTTTGCTGTAAAAATAGGGCAACAGTCACACTAGTGATACTTCATGGAAGATGCACAGCATTTAAAAGTATACGGTGAGAAAACTCCTACTGTGAGGATTATCACAAGCATAAGTAATAGTATTTGCACCCCATATAGAATTATGGGGTGCAAATACTATAGTATACCAAAATTATTTTGAAAGAATATTCAAAACGTGTAAGAGTAGCAAATATTTGAGGTTGTACATGTCGTTATTTCACATATGACCTGACTAACAAATATGCTGGAGTCGGGAGGTAGAACCTCCGAGTATGCTCAGGGAACCATCTGTGGTTCAGGGGATGAACCCGGATTGGGCACTTGTAAGGCATGCCCCTTAACCCCTGAACTATTTCTCAGGCCCCAAGTTTGTTATTTTTATATTTAGCTTTTAAAAGCATTTACAAGGAAATTCAGTAATAAAAAAATAAATTTGGGATCAGAGTTAGCTTAAAGAGCTGGAGCACATGTTTTGTCTTTGTAGGCTCGAGTCCCAGGCTTTATCCCGAGCACCACATGGTCCCCTAAGCACTGAAATGAGAGGAGCCCCCTGCAAAGCTGGGGCTAGCCTCCAAACTAAAAAGCATAAATTTTAATATAATTTCAAGACCTGGGCTGGAGCGATAGCACAGCAGTAGGGCGTTTGCCTTGCATGCAGCCAACATGGCCGACCCAAGTTCGATTCCTCCGCCCCTCTCGGAGAGCCCGGCAAGCTACCGAGAGTATCTCGCCCACACGGCAGAGCCTGGCAAGCTCCCCGTGACGTATTCGATATGCCAGACACAGTAACAACAAAGTCTCCAATGGAGACGTTACTGGGCCCGCTCGAGCAAATCGACGATCAACGGGAGGGCCTTTACTTACTTTAATTTCAAGACCAATTTTAAAGTTCTAACAAAGATCATACCTGAGTTTTTTAATGATTACCAGTAGTTTATTTTTGTTTTGTTTTTGTTTGGGGGCCACACCCAGCAATACTCAGGAGTTACTCCTCCCTCTGCCTCAGGAATTCCTCATGGAGATACTCAGGGACCATATATGATGCCAGGCATGGAAGTAGGGTTGGTCATATGTTAGGCAAATGACTTAGCCACTGTACACTCTCTTTCTCTCTCTGGCCCCAGTCACTGTCCTCCTGTTGTTCATCAATTTCTCGAGCAGGCCCAGTAATGTCTCCATTGGAGACTTTTGTTGTTACTGTGTTTGGCATATTGAATATCGAATACATCATGGGTAGCTTGCCAGGCTCTACCTTGCGGGCGAGATACTCTCAGTAGCTTGCCGGGCTCTCCAAGAGGGGCGGAAGAATCGAACTCGGGTCAGCCATATTGGCTGCGTGCAAGGCAAACGCCCTACCTGCTGTGCTATCACCCCAGCCCTAGCCCCAGTACTATCAATATTAATAATATTCATCCGTATAGAGTTTGTCATTAGCAATAAGATTCTTTTATATTTATTCAAACATAAGACAATGGAGCAGAGTAAACATGGGCTCTGGAGTCAAACTGGTTTACCAGCAAGTCTTGACTCGGCCACGGACAATTTTGTTCACAGTAAATTTCTTAACCTTCCTAAACTCAGTTTAATCACCAGTAAAATGGAAATAATAAAACTTAATTCAAAGGAGAGTGGTGAAGGGGATTAAATGAGTTATTAAATATAAAGCTTTTAGCTTAGTGCCTGGCATTTAGGAGATACTTATTAAATGGTAATTGTAGCAACTCTCTAATGATATCAAATTTTATAGTACTTTAATCATTATAAAATACTTTTACATGTTATTCTTTACTCTTTCCTTAAAAATAAAGTTATCACTCCTTTATTCTCTGTGTGTGTGTTGGTGTGGTGCCGGGAACTGAAACCAGGTCTCATACATGTAAGGCATTTTGCTTTACAGGTTTGGCAATCCTGTATTTTTAGGGTCAGTCACTAAAAATAAATATTGCCAAATTCAAATCAACTCGTATACATTTAATATGATATGTTTTATTATTTATTTATTTATCCTATTTATTAGGACTCATTTCAATATTTTTAAATAGTAAATATTTAGAAATTTTAAAAAACCTATTTTATGACACATGCCACCTTGCCAATTACATTATTTTTATATATCACAGTACTCTATTAAATAGTTAACGATGACTATAAAAATGGATGCTTTGTCCTGACATTAACAAATTGGCTCTGACTCGTACCTATGCCAGTGGAAACTAAATAAGGTATTTCTGATATAACTTTCTGCAGTGATAACAAACATATCATAGATTTTAGAGTTTAGATATGACCTCAGAAATTGTATAAATATGCAAATCCAATCCTTTCTTACAAGTGTAAAATCAACTTTGGAGCAATTCAAGAAGTGTCCCCTGGGCTGGAGAGATAGCTTGGCAGGTAGGGCGTTTGCCTTGCATGCAGCCGACCCAGGTTCAATTCCCAGCATCCCATTTGGTCCCCTGAGCACCACCAGGAGTGATTCCTGAGTGCAGAGCCAGGAGTAACCCCTGTGCACCGCCGGGTGTGACCCAAAAAGAAAAAAAAAAAGACGTGCCCCAAGGAAGTGGGCAAACGGACTAACATAGAGAAAGGACCTTTGACTTTCCAGTCTGTGCCCTGTCTACCACACTGTTTCCAAACCTGAAAACAAATGTGTGCCTTAGTATTTTCACAGACTACTTATGATAGGCATTTGATTCATAACTCCCAGAGTTAATATGATACAGCTCATCATATGATGTTAATGATGTTAATTTCTACCCATGCTAAATCATAGTGGAATTAATAATAATTTTTCAGACTTTTCCTATGGGATCCAAAGTTAGAAATTCTATTCGTTTTTTATTGTTTGGTGGCCACACTCAGTGGTGCTCACAGTTCTATTCCCAGCTCTAAGTTCAGGAATTACTTCTAGCGGTGCTCAGGGGACCAGGTGGGGTCAAGGATGCAACCTAGACCTCCTGCATGTAAAGAATAAGCATCAATCTTTGAGCTATCTCTCCAACTCAAATGTATATATATTTTTAACCTTCCACTAATACAACTTCTCCATCTGTGAGTTGGGCAAATACATATTTAAAAATTTCTTTTAATGAGGAAAAAAGGATATTCATAAGGAAATAAAAAATTCTTTGAAGACCTAACTCAGAGATCTAAATAATATAAAATCTGAACACAATGACCATGGAAACATTGATTTATCAGAGAAAATTAAAAAATGACTACATCTCAAATTAAAGTATTAAATATTTTTAAGATCTCAACATGTCACAATTTTAATATCAATAAACCCAATGATCTTGCTTTATAGTATAAAAATACATTCTAGTTATAAATGATATAAAATTGAACTGAATTTTGTATGTATCCAAATATGTCTAACCCTAATATTAATTAAGATGTGATAACTTATTATTGAGAATAGCAGAGGAAAATAATAGCTCAGATGCTCTTATTTTTAAGTTACTATTATAAAATATACATGGTGGGGATCTGGAGTGATAGCACAGCGGGTACAGCGTTTGCCTTGCACGCGCGCCCCCTACCCCACCGCCAGGTTCGATTTCCAGCATTCCATATGGTCCCCAGAGCACAGTCAGGAGTAATTCCTGAGTACAAGAACCAGGATAACCCCTATGCATCACTTGGTGTGACCCTGTCACTGTCACTGTCCTCCCGTTGTTCATCAATTTGCTTGAGCGGGCCAGTAACGTCTCCATTGTGACACTTGTTACTGTGTTTGGCATATTGAATACATCACGGGTAGCTTGCTAATCTTTGCTGTGCGGGCAAGATTCTCTCAGTAGCTTGCTGGGCTCTCTGAGCGGGACAGAGGAATCGAACTTGGGTCGGCCATGTTGGCTGCATGCAAGGCAAACGCCCTACCCACTGTGCTATCGCTCCAGCCCCAGGTGTGACCCAAAAAATAAATAAATAAATAAATAAATAAATAAATAAGTAAAGCAATGTCCTTTAAAAAAATAAATAAAAATAAAATATACCTGGTGGAATTCATATACACTTTATGTCTTATCATGATATGTTGATGCTCTCAAAAATTAGATGGTTCTTTATATATCGAAGAAAAAAATGCAGTTACAATATTTATTCATTTTTCCTTCTCATTAATGTGATACAGTTCTATCTTTACTAGTCTAATATATTAGCATAAAATTCTATGCACAAAATATTTTAAAATTATTTACCTATATCTTTTTTATATAGGAAATGTTTTTATAACACTATTGAACTGAAAGTTTTAAGTAGATAAGAGAAAAAATGAGAATGTTAACATAGAACTATAAAGCAAGTGACCTCTCATTAGCTCAATGAAAGACTAGTTAAACCAAATCGCAGAACAGGTAGCAATTTCATGGGTAAGTGCGAACGAACAAAATTGAGTAACTGACAAACTTCAAAAACTGTGGCCTAAATTAAGCCCTTTTACTTTTAGAGTTATGTAAATAAAAACATTTTATTTTTCATGTTTTATCACTCTACCCTGGGTGTGGAAAAAGATCAAAGATCAATCAGGAAAGATCAATCACAATCCAGATCTAACTGCCACAGTAACATTATTTTTAAAGTCATCTCGCAAAATTAGCTTAATTGCAGAATTACAATATTTCAAAGAGCAGGATAATACATTTTCAGAGTTCCCTGTTCTCCAAAAATACTTCCCCCCCCTCCTTTTTTAGTTTTTCACTAACTCACAATTGATTCACACAGTTTCATGGAATTTCAGGGGTTTAGCTTCACACCTCTAATGTATGTAACGGCAACATTCCCGACACCAAAAATTCCAGTATCATCCCACCCTCTCCTCATACTTCTCACACATCTCACCTTTCTCTCTGGGAACCACAGTGGTTTCCACTGAAGCGTTAGCTTTCTCATCTCCAGAAGATTTTTTAAAAGCATCCTGAACCAAGTAGACTTCTTAGTAGCAAAATTAATTTAGTCAGTATAAATCAAAAGTGGATAAAATTTGAAGAATTGGATTATTTGCTTTGTTTGCCCATTTCTCATTACCTACCCAGTTCCCTGTCTAGTTGCTCCCTCGCTACCCCAATTGCTTATCTGCACATCCGCCTTAAGAAAAGTAACTCTTCATTCAGTTACCTGCTTGGTGGAGAAGACAGCGACCTCTGCAGATTGACCCCCGAGTTCATGTCATGATAGTACGGCTGGCTTGGAATTTCTCCAATTGGAAAGTTGACTCCAGTTCCCTGGGTTATGGGCGCTGAGGAATAAAAGAAAAAGAAGCATTGGCAATGCTACTTACAACGTGCTACATTCCAATGAAGCAATCTTACATATTCTACAACAAGGAAGAATTAACTTCTTTCATTTAATATTGTAAATTGCTTGAGATAAATAATCCTTATGTTAAGGCAAGTACATACGTGAAATAGACAAATATGGGAAAAAAATAGCTAAGTCCTATCCCCAAATTTGTATGCAAGTTTTACATATGACTGGCACGTGTGGCTTTTAAGTGTAGATGCTTTACATTTTTTTTAAATTTTGCTTAATTATAAATTATTTAAAATATACTTATGACGCTTTATATTTAAAGAAAATTTTTGCAACTGAAAAAATATTTTTAATGTGCTAACATACTAAGTGTTGAGAATTTTGCATATAACCATTAGTTTTCGTTCAAAGGACTATTTTTGTTCAAACACTTTAAATGTTTCTAGACACCTTGAATAAGTCTGTCAGATATGTTGTGTTATGAAAGTATAGTCTTAGGAAGGATAACCTTTTAGTTTGAACTTTCTATGTCACCATGAGTTGTTGCTTCAGTCTCTCAAACTACAAAATGAGAATAATAATAAAAACTTATTTCATGTGATTATTTGAGAAGAAAATAAGGTAAGGAATCATCAAAACCCAGCATAATTCTTAGTACATAAGGGCTCAATAATCTGAGTTCTCTTCCTTCTTTGCTTTCTCCTCCTTCCCTTCTGCCTCCAGTTCCTTTTCCAGCAGGCTAAAGTGGTTAGCATTGACAGAACAGTTGAAATAAAAGCAGAAGAAAAGGTAAAACTGAATCTATTTTCTGAAAGTATGTTCATTCAAAGACATATCGATTGTGTCCATTATTGGTATGTACTGCAAAGGATACAAAATAGTCTTCCCAGGCCTTAATAAAATGTCTTAGGCAGTGGCTGGGAAAACAAATTATTCACAAAAAACACAGATGACAGTCTACTGCAAATCATAATAAAAGAGTCACAAATGAATGACACAATCAATGTTGTAGGATTTCGAGGGAAGAGAAATATATAACAGGCTTGACTAGTTCAAGAAAACTGTGAAAAAGCCATAGCTAGAATTGAATTTTGGAGAAATAAGGTAAGAAAGGGAGTTTGGTATAAAAACATTAAGAATAAGGTCTTCATAAGGCAGAATGGGATAGGTAGAAAGCAAGCAATTTGGTGTCAGGCCCCGGGCTTAAGAATAGTCTATATGTCTTTATCTCTTTTATCCATCCGTCACAGACTCTTATGAAAGAGTGTCTCGTAGCTCAACAACAAAATCTGAGGTCCCTGAAATTTGCTGCAGAAAACATGCATAAAAGATTATAGATATTAAGGGATTTCCCCCTTATTCGGGATTTTTAAGAACACACTAAAGATCAAGTGAACTATATATCAATATCGGGCAGGTCAAAAGTAATGTTAAATATTTTTTAAAAAAATACATTAGGAGGCACATGCTTTATTGCAGAGAGTAAATAAGAAATATATAGTGAGTGTCCTTTTCCCTATTAAAAAGTAAATAAATCAATATATTCAAGATTAGTCTTAGCTTCTGCCTTCTGCTAGAATGTTCCCTTTATAGTAAATTCTTTTAAGGTCATTTTACACATAAAATATTTGTATTCTAACTTCTGGCTATTTGTATTCTAGCTTTCTGGTTAAAATCTTTGGTCAGCTAAAATGTAGCTGTTTGTTGTGGCTTGAAGTACACCAGAGGTTAAAAAAATTGCAAGGTAAGAAATCCCACAGTAACCACATGTTTTAAAGTTTATTATTAGAATCATGTTCTGTGTGACATTGGAAAGCAAGGTAGGCGCTAAGAGACATTGGGGGAGGGGAGGGCAGGAAAGGGTTCAATGAGAGTAAGCAATCTGTCTGACTTTCAAAAACAGTAATGGATACAATTCAAATAATTTGCCTCCTAATAGGAAACCAAAAACTGTATCTAATTTAGAGACTATTTACAATTCGAAATTTATTAAGCCTATGTAATAGTTAAGCAAAGATTCAAAGTTATATTTAATACTTGTGGCATAAGAGCAACACGGATGCTTGACTAAAAACATTATAGGCATAATTTTAGTAAGATAAAAAGAAATCTTTAGAAATTTTATTTTCCTAAATTTCATTCTAAAAGGATTATTTGTCTCAAGAAAGCAAGTTATAATAATAATATGTATATAGATTAATACAAGAGCTTTGACAAAATTGAGTGTGCATTCTGGTATTAAATGAGAGATTATAGAAAGAAGAGTATATAAATAATAAACATACACCAATTACAAATTTTATTTAATAACATAGAGAGGAAGTGAGAACAGCAAGTCCCAGGCAGATATTCCTGATTAAAAAGCTCTGGAAGAATTTACATTAGACGCAAATATCAGCATTAGCACTTCTCCCAGATAGCTGAAGAAGTCGGAAGAAGTCTGCAAATCACCTTTAAGAGGCTACCAATAATCTCTTAGAAAGAAGGCTCCAAAGAGCCTCAGATTATCAGGGTTAGAGGGTAACCTTTAATCTCTGTTATTGTCCTCCTCACTCCAAAAGCTGATCCAAAATTAACTTTTAAAAGAGATAATATCATTTAGCAGAAAGATCGCTATCCTAAAACTGAACAGTTTCATTAGCCATAGTCAACATACACATTAGTGGGTCAAATGCTAGTAAAAACCTAGAGGATAGAAATCTTTAAGATCCTATAAACCCTCAAGGAGTCAGAATTTGTGATATACAGCAAAGGAGTTGTGCTGAAGCTTACGTTTACTTAGAAAATCATTGTTTCATCAACAATGATGTTCAATTGCATAAATAAGATATAATGTGGATATATTAAAACACTTTGGGAATAGAAATTAAGAAAGAATGAAGTATGTTCATTTGACTCCTTTTTGAATTGTTGTACAAAGTTATTTTTAATCTACTTATTTTTCAGACTTTTACATCCCTTTCCATTAAGTTCTGATGTGATCTAAAACATCTCATGGAGTTTACTATTTCTAATGAGATGCAAATAATATCTTCTGGCACATGATTTCTATCATTGTCATCAAAGGATGAAAATACATTTTGAAACTTAGAAAACTAAATATTTAAGCCAAAAAATAAATATAGGCATCTTATAAGCACAACCTTTGCTAAAGGACACCGTGAGGCATCACACACAACTCCAAATGTCCTCTACCTTATGTGATGCCAGAAAGTGGTAATATGTCGGGTATGTTTTCTCTGAATTAAATCTGTCACTATCACTGTCCTCCTGTTGTTCATCGATTTACTCGAGCAGGCCCAGTAACGTCCATTGTGACACTCCATTGTGACACCATTGTTACTGTGTTTGGCATATCGAATACGTCATGTGTAGCTTGCCAGGCTTTGCCGTGCAAGTGAGATACTCTCTGTAGCATGCTGGGCTCTCCGAGAGGGGTGGAGGAATCGAACATGGGTCAGCGGGTTGGCCACACGCAAGACAAACGCCCTACCTGCTGTGCTATTGCTCCAGACCCTGAATTAAATATAAATATAAAACCTTTCAAATGTCAGAGTCCTTCCCACACCACAAACATCAGGTAAAAACACACAGGACCCACTGACTTACTTGGTCAACAGACTAGAACATAGGTATGCCCAGCAAATGCCAACTTTGGCTAACAGAATATTAGATTCCATCCTACAGTGCCCCCAAGTAAATACCAAAGCAGGAGGAGTTTGGGCACATGCATATACTTCATATATGTCTTAACTGTTTGTGTATTTGACTTCCTTAGATACAAGCTCTTTATACTAACCACTTTAGAAGTCCAAATTATTTTTTGTTTGTCTCTTGTTTTTTTTTAATGTAGGACTACTGCTATTTATTCAGCCACTGATTAGCTGATTGAATTGTGCATGAACTCCACCTTACTTTCATTTCATTTTTTATAATTTTATTTATTGAATCACCGTGAGAGCAGTTACAAAGCTTTTGGGTCTAAGTATCGGTCTTGGTTTTGATCACACCTGTCGGTATGCAGGACTTATTCCTGACTCTGTGCTCCAGGATCACTCATAAGGGTTCGCGATTTCTTTCTTTCTTTCTTTCTTTCTTTCTTTCTTTCTTTCTTTCTTTCTTTCTTTCTTTCTATTAAATCACCGTGAGATACAGTTACAAGCTTTCATGTTTGAGTTACATGCAGGGTGATAGCGAGTGAAACCAAGTTGGCTGAGTGCAAGGCAAGCACCTGTCAGCTAAACTATCATCTCCCTGGCTCCATAGATATGCAAACTACTGAAGAAACCAATATTCAAAAGACTGAGTCACCTGCTAGTTCAGAGATTCCTTCACTAAACACAGCTCCAAAGCTCTACTTATACTTGACCCTCAGTAATTTCCTCTAGTTTTGTTCTTTTTCACTTATTATGTCTTATTCATAACATCCAAATTTGACTTACATGAAAAGTGTGACTTAACTAGGATCAGAGAGCTTCTTTATCATCTGATTAACATAATTTCAAATAGTCAGATGATCAGAATGTAAAATGAGGGGCTGGGGAGATAATGGTAGCCACATGGCAGGGCACTTGCCTAGCACGATGAGGCCATGAATTTGATCTCTGGAAATGCCCAACCCTCCCCCAGCACTGCCAGGTCTAGCACAGAACCATCAGACCTCTAGCACTGGGCCTACCAGGGCTGGGAATGGCCCATACACTCTTGAGCCTCTCCAACCCCGAGCCTCTTTACCAGAGCTGGATCTGGTCCTATAAGTTAGAAAACAATAAAACAAAATGGAATCAAAAAACATTTTTGGTGTCAGGTGAAACACATCCTTCAAAGTTACATAACCTAAGAGAGCCAGAAGAAATGTACCACCTGCTTGAGTACAATGAGCATGTCAAGAGCTACATCTTAGATATATTTGCACACATTAATAAGTACAAAGGTTGGTCAAGTAAACCTTCCCCTTGCTTAGTGAGCTGGCCAGGTGAACATCCGGCCTGCCAAGAATGGTGTCTCAGGTGAAGTGGTCAGTTCAAACAATTGACCATTGTTTTGGATAACAATGCTTTCTATCTATATCCAACTACAATCTGCAAAGTTAATTTCTGCATCCCTCTACACTTTGCATGTTAGCGTGTATATCCTGTACATCTCCAAGCCCCCACCAAAATGTTAGTAAAAAAAAGCACTTATCTACAGGAAACTTATGTGGGTTATCATAACAACCTGAAGTACATTTAATTAATCATACTTCCTTTGAATTAAAAGACCATCTATGGTCACAGTGAGAACACTGAATCCACTGCATTACCAACAGCATAGCATTCAGAATAACTTAAAAAAATTATACACCAAAATCTCAGATGATGTTAATGCAAACATTTTAGAAAATCAAATAAAAGATATTATCATGATTTCAGCCCAAGGTCTGATATTTTAAAACCTCAAATTCTTCTAATTTGAGGTTATTCTTGATACTATATTTCAGCTTCAAAACATAAAATATATTTAATCATAGGATATAGTTGAGTAGTAAAAGTATTTACTTACTTCTGGATACCCTCACAAGTTCTGAAACGTTGAAGACTCCAGATTTTACAAAACTGTCCTCAAGGTATCCTGAAAATAAACATCAAGAGGAAAAAGATTAACATAAACAGGAAGCAAATAAATGATTAAACACTAAAATTTATTCAAGTGCTTTTCACCAAGGTCAGAACAAAAACCAATTATACTTACAAAAAAGACAAGTAAAAGCAAAACTCTTGTGAATGTATGCTGGACCCATTTCAACAAAAGTCAGAGTTTATATCCCAAATAATTTCCTAGGACAAATTTTTCCTTAGCTTTCTAAATGTACCTGGCAATTGGCATGCTTTTATTTGCCATGTCCCACACTTAAAGGATGAGGATGTAAAACCTCTTGTTGAGAGCCTTCATCTCAGTAGCACCTGGTAGACTTCGGTCCACCCATTTTAAAAAAAAAAAAGAAGAAGAAAACAGAAGAAAGAAAAAGGAAAACCACAACCACAATTAGCACCTTGTTGGAATCACTTCAAAGATCTCTGGAAACCACTGTTCTTTCACAAATCCTTCCCTGCTTAAAGAAAAGTGAGTTGCTGTTACCATCACTCCCACCCTTGTTCCAGGATCGTGAAATGCACAAAAGTAGAACTTGTACACACAGCACATACTTTGCATGGGCCACATACTTCAATGCACTTTCAACAACTCTGCTTTCTCACCACTGAAAATAAACATCAATGATTTTTCACTGCTTTCTCACCCTTACTACTACTTCCCTGACTTCCCTTCATTTCAAGAATTGGACACTTTTTCTGGCAAATGGAGGTTTTTTCACACCACTGAGAATGCCATATAACCCTTCTGAAATATCCAGGAATAGGGTCTGTAGTTGTAGAAAACAAAAACCACAAGTCAAAAAAAAACTGAGAAAGTTTAGACCTGAGGATTGCTATTAGTTCTAATGCAGACCAGATATAAGCACTGCCCCAAACATTAGTCCCATGCTCGGGTTCTAAGGTACAGTGAGGATAAGAGCATGCAGAGGAAGAGACAGCTCTTGGAATAATGAATATGGTTATTTTCTGGTGCTCAAAAGAAAGAATTAGTAATCCCGAAAATTCTGAAAAGTGCAATATTTCCAAGAGGTGGGGGTTGGGGGAAATCTCTATAGTCCAAGAACTGACAATTAGATCAAACTTCATTTATAAAGGGCTGGTCAAAGGGTAACATTCAGTGCAGCAATGTGAGACATGGACATAGCAACAACATGGCACACACAATTCAGAGTCTCCACCTACTTCCCCATAATACAGGGTCTACACTAGTAGGACCCTTAGGCTCTCAATCTGTCATTTATAACTTAGCTGGAGCGATAGCACAGTGGTAGGGCGTTCGCCTTACAAGCGGCCAACATGGCCGACCCGAGTTCGATTCCTCTGGCCCTCTCGGAGAGCCCGGCAAGCTACCGAGAGTATTCGATATGCCAAACACAGTAACAACAAAGTCTCCAATGGAGACGTTACTGGGCCCACTCGAGCAAATCGACGATCAATGGGAGGGCTTTTACCTTTACCTTTATATATGAATCAATGAGATAAAAAATTAATCCTAGACCAGAGTGATAGGACCAAGGAGTATGGCATATGCTTAGTATATGAGAAGTTCTGAGTTTGATGCCTGGTCCTCCATGCCTCCCACCCCTATCCACCAGCACACTCCAGTATTGCTCAGGTGATCATCAGGAACAGCCTAGCCTGAATATCACACTGATAGGCTAAGCATCATGGCATATATACACACATATACATATATCCTAGGGCTGGTACTAGATTAAACATTACCAATGAGTTAAGATCACCCAGTGGCACTAACAATCATATTGAATTACATGTACAGGATTCCCGGCAGTCTCAAATTATTCCCAAGTCTTCATTTGGAAATTTTATCAAAATAAAAGCCACCACACAATTTTTTCAGCCAGACGTAACATAAAAAGACAGAAAATTCCTTAATTGGCATATATTCTTCACTGTTTTAAACCAAGAGGCCATAAACATAGTTTTGTTTTGTTTTTGCTTTTGAGCCACACCTGAAAGTGCTCGGAACTTACTCCTGGCTCTCTGCTTATTCCTGGTGGTGGTTGGGGGACTGTATGATGTGCCGGTGATCAATCGAACTTGAGTCAGTGCATGCAAATCACATGCCTTAACCCCTGTATTATCTCTCTAGTCTCAGAAAACTGCTCTAATACCCATCTATTACCTTCCTTAGAAATAGGATGAGAGAGTGAAAGAAAACTATTAGGTCTCAGGTGATGATGAAACTTAAGTCTAATATTAAGTCACTGGTCTTAAAACGAGAACAAAATGTCATCATTGGATACAACTCTATATTAAGAAATTCCTATTTTTTTTCTTCCTTTTAGTTTTCAAGTAACATCCAGCACTGCTTGGGAGCTTCTCTCCGCTGGTGATCTGGCATTCCAACCAGTGCTCAGAGAGCCATATGACTGAACCCAGGGCTTCATACACATGTTTTCCAACCATTTTGAGCCATCTCCACACCCTGAAATTCGCAGACTACGTTCATCCTTCAACCATCATCCACCCCATAATCTGTTGCCCTATCCTCTTCCAATCCCCAAGCAGACTAGAAATAATACACTTTGTCTGTATTTACACGGCACCTAGCTTATACTTATTTTCACTTTGCACATTTAAGTTTTTCCAAATATCTATGCAAAATTCTTGTGTACTACCAGTTTCCTTTTTAAAAAACAGAATGACTAAATTTTGCTCATTTCCTTATCTCCATTAATATAACAGTGCCACTCTCAATATATAATGGCCTAGACAGATCACCAGTTTTACTTTTTAAGTATTAAAAATTCTTAGTGCTTTTAATCTAGGAAACCAATGCAAAGCGCACACACACACACACACACACACACACACACACACACACACAGCAGCCAGATCAAAAAGTTAAATCTGAGGATAACAACTGGGTTTCTAAGTGCTCCTATCTAATTCGATGCACAACATTTAAATGTATTGAATTCTTAAATATAATGAAGATATTTTTAGTATTTCAAATTTTCGCAACAGTGTCACAAATAAATAATAATTTGTATAAATAAATAAACTTAATAATTTTGTAGCAGTGTAGAAAAGCTACTGAGAGTATCTCGCCCGTACGGCAGAGCCTGGCAAGCTACCCGTGATGTATTCGATATGCCAGACACAGTAACAACAAAGTCTCCAATGGGGACGTTACTGGGCCCGCTCGAGCAAATTGATGAACAATGGGAGGACAGTGACAGTGACAGTGACAGTAGACAAGATGATTTCTTACTTAAAGGTAAGTCTATTGACCCAATCTAGTCCCTGCTACTCTTTTGCTGAAGATTTAATAGAGGACTAACTCCCAAGAATAGCCGAGATAAGTACCAGGAGGTTCACTCCATAGCTTGGAGGCCAGCCCCACATGCTAGGGGAAAAGGCAGCTCAGATAGTAGAAGGGAGCACCAAATAAAGGGTGTTGGGAGGATCTTCCCAGGATGAGAGATGCATGCTGAAAGTAGACTATAGACCGAACATGATTGCCACTCAATGCCTCTTTTGCAAATCACAGCACCCAAAAGGAGAGAGAAAACAAAAGGGAATGCCCTGCCACAGGGGTGGGGTGGGATGGGGGGATGGTAGGAGGGATACTAGGAGCATTGGAGGTAGAGAATGGGCACTGGTGAGGGATGGGTACTCAATCGTTGTATAACTGAAACCCAAGCACAAAAATTTGTACATCTACAACTGTACTTCATGGTGTTTCACTAATAAAATTTTTTTATAAAAAGATTTTATAGAGGATTTTAACTAAATTCAAAAGAATAAGAACTGATGTCAAATATTATCTCTGATTTAAGTGTGTACTAATGTGCAACTTTGGGCATTTGGTACAAAATGGCTTCCAATTAATGAAAGGAACTGAAAACTATTTGTAAAATAAATGGAATGTGTGAGTAAATACATGGCAAATAATATGCAAACATAAATTACATCATGTGTAATCACAATATATAGATACTATTTGAGGGTCATTTGCTTATTACTACAGCAAGTAGTCAGGGCTTCATTTGCTTGGAGGGCATGCCATTAAGCTGAAGAGGTACATGAACATGTAATGAGTCAAGTCTTGGGAGCGGGAGGAGTCACTTCAAGCTAATTCTACCAAAGGGAAGACATTGCGGCCCATCACAGATAAACACAATGACTAACTGAAAAAAAAAGAGAAGACAATTCAGATGTTAGGGAGGTATTTCTTTACCTCCCCACTTTTAATTTCTAAATTTCAAGGAATCTGAATCTCTAAAGACTGAATGGGTTACTGCTCTAAAACCATAAGCACAGGAAATGTGTCAGAACGGTTGTGGCACCCAATGAACAAAACACACCACCACAGGCCCCATTAGGCTTCACTTCTGCATAGAGCATAGTGAGATTCCACTGAAGGGAGAGTGCCAACGGGTGAGTGGTGGGGTCAATTAACAATGACACCAAGGAATCAGAGACAGGTGGATATTGGGCCACAGAGCAGCTTGGAAAAAATTTCAGCAACAGACAGCTGCCACCTTCACCTTCACATTCACCTTCGCGGGGAACATAGCTCAATGAGTTGGGAGACATTGACAAGGTAAAGCAGTAAAAAGAAAAGAAAAGCTGCCGTAGCACTTGGCTAAGGTGCTTACTCACAAGCACACAATGACACACAACTTGAAGACCCTGATCATAACAAAGAAGAATCCTGTAGGGGATTCAGAATCCCCATGGTTGTACTGAAGATAAAATTCAGCAAAATGCAGGATTATTGTTGTTAACATAACCACTCTGGTAACTCCCATGTTGCCGTGGAGGCATTCCAGTAATATAGTTCTGTGGAGGCATTCCAGAAATATAGTTTCCACGTGTTACCCAGGTCAAGTATATCTAAATAGCTGGTACAAAGGCCAAAGATCTTAAACCAATTTGAAAACATTCTATAGTAAATTCCCTTCATCTACCAAAGAAAATATGAGCATCTTGGAGGCAGAACAGATG